CTGTTCATTAACTGACAAATAGTCAGTAAAATGTGGTATGTCCATTCATACAATGGAATGTTATTCAACAATAAAAAATAACGAAGTCCTGATGCATGCTACATGAATGGATGAACTTTGATAACATTGTGTTAAATGAAAGAAGTCATTCACAAAAGATCACATATTGTAGCATCTCTTTTCATTTTTATTTTTTATTTTTTTTGAGTCAAAGTCTCACTCTGTTGTCTAGGCTGTAGTGCATGCTCATGGCTATCGCAGCCTCAACCTCAGCCTTCCAGTAGCTGGAACTACAGGCGCGCACTCTCATGCCCGGCTTGTTTTTTGATTTTTTGTGGAGACGAGGCCTCACCAAGTTGTGTATGCTAGTCTCGAACCCCTGAGCTCAGGCAGTCCTCTTGCCTTGGCCTCCCAAAGTGCTGGAGTTACAGGCTTGAGCCACCACACCCGGCTGATCTTGTTTATTTTAAATGTCCAGAATAGGAAATCTATAGACACAATAGTTTAGTTGTTACCTAGGGCTGGGAGGGGCTACGGGGAAGAGGAAAGTGAGCAGTCGCTAATAATTGGTAGGAGGTTTCTTTTGGGGATGAGAAAATATTCTAAAATTGATTGTGGTCATAGTTGCAGAACTCTATGAATATGCTAAAAACCTTAAATTATATACTAAAAATGGGTATGTTATATGGTGTGTCAGGTAGATTTCAATAAAGCTATTTTTCTTTTTTTTAAAGAAGAGGGCAGCCCCCTCGGGTCACCTCCCACTGTGGGAGCTTTTCTGTCCTCTCAATAAATCCTGCTTTAAAAAATATATAAATAAATAAAAATAAAAAATAAAAGAAGAAGAAATAAGTGAGGGAGAGAGAGAGAAAGCCAAATCTAGACATTAGAGGGGAGAGAATGCCCTTCCCCTAAGGTGCCAAAGTCATCCCATGTAGCTCTGAGACTCATCCTTTATGTAGAATGTTTTCCCATTCACCTCACATAAGTAGATAGGAGATGTGTTGTCTGTTTGTGAACATTGCTCTGATTGCGACTCTGAAATATCCCTTTCTGCTCTATGTTGTAGACACTACGAGAAGAAGGCCACGTAGCCAGCCCATTTTTCTTATTCCCTTTTATTAAAGAGGTAGCTGTGCTGTGTGCCAACCTCATTTGAAGTATTTGTCTTTATACTCTCCTTTCCACTTTGTCACATATCCTCACTATTTTTTTTTTTTTAATGTGAACTTCAAAAAAAGATACAACCTGCCTAGGTTGTGTTTATTCATTTTTTCTTTTATAGATTTTCAGATTTATGAGTGTCATAAAACAAAAATGCCTAATCGAATCCAAACTAGCCTTGCCTTTTAATCACAATGAATTCCATCCTCAGGTATACTTTGTTCTTGCTACAATTTATTGTTTTGGTCGTGTTTCAAATTGTAATGGGAAGCTCTGTTGTTGGCTCTGCTGATCAAGGTTACCAAAATTCAACGTTCAGGAGATACTTATTTTGCCAGTCCTGGCCAAACACAATAACTACAAAGACAGTAAAAGACAAAGAATGAAATAAGAGAATGGGATTAGAATTATTGCGAACAGCACAAGACCTTTCCAATCTGAATAAACCGTGGAAGATAAGAATAAAGTGCTTGTTCCTTGAAGCCAATGCTGACTTTCAGCAGGATTGTCCCGTGTTCTGCCTGGTTCCAGAGGTGTCTCAGCTGCCTTGTCCTGCCTGTCTCTTTCCACTTCTCTGCTTTGTCATAAAGCCTTCCTCCCAAGGAGCCCAGTCCAGCCCCCCGCCACCTCCTCCATAGCTCAGCCAACTGTTTCTTCTCCCAGTCAGGTACCTTTCTTGTCTCCATCTTCCCTGTACTTGTCAAAACCACAGATGTTTTCCATAAGTATAGCATATCTTGCTAAATATTGCTAGGTTGTGGGAAATAATCTAATAGACTAATTTATTCAATTTTAAGTTTAGATCTCCCCAGGGATGTATGCATTAAAACAAGAGGTCCTAAAAACAAAATTTCTTAACCAATAGGAAGAACTGACAATAAAATCTGAAGCACTGAGGCAGGTCTGGAGTAGGGAAATTTTTGAATAAAGGCAATTACTTAAGTAAAAGCCAACTTTAGTTGTGATGTTGCTATTTGAAACTGACTTGAAAATGATTCTCTCCCCACCCTCAAGTTATACATTTCTCTATGATTATTAATTGTGTTTGCCAAGGTATTTATTTTTTAAGCCATTTTTCATTTAGCTCTTCTTTATACTAGTCATATTTACATAAACCATCTCCTAAACCAAGTCACGACAGCTCTAAAAGATGAAAAAATAGTGTTAAAATGATTGAACAGAGCTAGAGAATAGCTTTAACCTTGGTCCATCTGAGGCTAAGTTTAGTTTTCTCTCCTAGGGGAAACAAAAACAAACTTTTAGTTCAGTAAGGAACTCTAACAGACTCCTGCTGCTGTGCTTGCTTTTTCGCTTGCATTTAGAAACAGCATTCAAGAGTTTGGTCACTGTGAGACTCTGACTCCAAAATGTCTGATGTTTATGGAGTTTGGGGCACACGTATCAATTCATGGAGACAGTGTGCTACATATTTGGTTGCAAAGTGAACTGTGTTTACATACCTGGATAACAAATAAAGATTGTACTGTTCTGCTTTCTTTCACCTCATAGATTTTTGCATCAAGAGGCAATAGTGTGCAAAGTCAATAACTTGGAAAATGTTTCAAGTTACCTTGCTGAGATGAGAAAAGGAGTTCTTACTGTCTTTTAATTTCTCTCTTCGTTTCATTCTTAAGTGTGGCCACCTCCCAAAACAGAGGGAAGATGCAGAGAATCTTAGCACTGATTTTTCTTTTTCTTTTCTTTTTTTTTTTTTTGAGTTGGAGTCTCACTGTCGCCCAGACTGGAGTGCAGTGGCCGCTCCCCGCCACCGCAGCCTCGACCCGCTGGGCTCCAGCGATCCTTCCGCCTCAGCCTTCCAAGGAGCTGGAACTACAGGCGCGCACTACCACGCCCGGCTCATTTTTGATTTATTGTAGAGATGAGGTCTCGCTGCCCAGGTGGGTCTCGAACCCGCGGGCTCAGGCAATCCACTCACCTCAGCCACAGAGCCTGGCTTGATTTTTCTCACGTTAAAAATTATTTTGTGTTCTTATTTTGAAAAATCAGTACGTTTAATGGTAATACTGAAATGTTTGCATCCTTCTCCCATTTTAAATGTGACATGTAAATAGCAGCAGGTGAGCACTTCCCTAGCAATTCCATTGACTGACATTACCCATGACATTGACCTTGTTTAGATTCACTTTTATAAGTACAATCTGCACTAATTCTTTTAAAATACTGATAATACTGTGCCTTACCTCAGAGAGCTTGCCCACCTTCTCACTATTCAACAAGCAGCTGAACTCCAGTTTCTCTCTCTCTCTTTTTTTGACACACTTTTTGGTCCAGATCCTTATTCACATCTCTCTGATCAGCACAGTTTGATTTGCAGCTAATTGTAGCAACTGATTTTCATTATTTATGAGTGTCATTGTCGGAATCCATTTGGAAGTCTGACCGAGATAAAGCTGATTCTAACTTCTGATATGACCACAGCAATAAAGCAATTAACCACACTAGTTAAAATGTGCTGAGGCCTGGAGGGTGCTAATATCGTTACAACCCAGTATTTACTACAATGTCCATTAGGTGTGATTTATTTCTTAGAAGAGTCAACATGTTATCATTTTATCACAAATAATTTATAACACCCTCTTTTAAAAAATATGATGTATGTTTCTCATGTCAGCCTATTAGCTTAAAAATGTTCATGTATTGAAAAGATACAAGTTGGAAAATAAAAACTATGAGTAATATAAATGCTTAATATTCTTAAAAGGTTTGATTATGAGGTAGTAGCACTTAAATCAGTCTCCATATACTATTATCCTTTACGTGTATTTGATTCTGGTTGGTACCTAAATCTGAAACTACCATGTCAACAAGACACAAGAAATGGAAGAGCCGTATATAAACATCCTTCAAGCAAATACTTCTCTCTCTCTTCTCATCCATAGTATCATAAAACATATGTGAAACTTCAAGAGTAAATACAGGATTGGAAAAGTCATTAATAACAGCAGTCATTTTAAAGTGTCACCTAATTTAAACACTTTTGCTTTAAGTTATTGCAGTGTCATGAGTTTTATTATGCTCAATTTATTAGTAAAGGCCTGCAGAGTTCACAGCCATTTATTTTTCAGGGAACTTGATTTTGTCATTAATTTTTAAATACGTAATACTACCATTTTATTTTTAGAGTGACTTTATTTGCAAAAATCGGTTTACTCTGATCAATACATATGTTTTCAGATGTTTATTAAAGTAAAAGTCCAGAAAGTCAAAGATATCCAAAATGTACTTGAAATTTTTGAGACCTTGCATCCCCAAATTCAGTGTGTTTACACACACACACTATATGTTTATATTGTTTGCTAAGTTAAGGTGGGATGATATCGTGAAACTGACCAAGCTTCTGTTTCTACCTTATGAGTAACATTCTTGAGAGAAACCTTTTTTTCTTCCAAAAGAGTGACATCTGGGTGGAAAAATCCTACAGTTAAGGTCTAAAGACAGGACCCAGAGAATAATTCTGACAATTTCTATTACTTCACAAGTCTGCTAAGTAAAATTCTATCATTGGTCACTAATCCTTTTCCTGGGTTGAGTTTTCATGGTCGGTTGCCACCTTATTTGCCTTCTCTCTGGAGGTGCTTGTGGGCTTAAATAGTTGACAGAGGAACTTGAAGTTTGGGCCCTGACCACCCTCCTGTAACTGTACCCCCTTGACTGTAGGCCATGCAAAGCTGATGTCAACACCTGGTGCTGATAGCGGGAAAAGCCTGAATGCTTGAGTGTTTATTTCAGAGACTTTCTTTTAAAAGAGTAAAAATAAATAAAAATAACTCTAAACATATACTCACTAGTTGTTATCTTTTTTTCCCCCTAATTAGGACAGAATTTTACCCTAAGGCAGTTAGGCGTTTGCGAACCAGCAACTCGAAGAGGACTGGCATTTTGTGCAGAAATGGGGCTCCCCCACAGAGGCTACTCTATCAGTGCAGGGTCAGATGCTGATACTGAAAATGAAGCAGTGATGTCCCCAGAGCATGCCATGAGACTTTGGGGCAGGGGGGTCAAATCGGGCCGCAGTTCCTGCCTGTCAAGTCGGTCCAACTCAGCCCTCACCCTGACAGACACGGAGCATGAAAACAAGTCCGACAGTGAGAATGGTAAGTTTCATTTTTTGCTTTATAATTTTGGCGTTCAGTGCTTCTGTCTGTTTTGATTGACCCTGGAGGCATGTTTACCTTCCTTTCTTCTTCTCATCCTTCTTTCTTTTTCTTTCCTATTCATTTCTTTTTGTCTTAATGCAGTGGAACCCAAGAAATACCTTTGAATAATGCATTTTTTTCCTGGAAAAAAAAAATCAATATTTGACATCAGATTGTTAAATTAAGCAAGCAGTCTATGATGTGTTAGCTATAGTTTTGAAAAACAATTTAATCATGTACCAAAAAAAAAAAAAAAAAAAGATTAGCACTGACTTATCTTGGACTGTGTCACCTGTTGTCCTCTGTGGAGTAGCAAATCAAGTGTTGATAAAGTTTACCCCAGAGCCATCTCGCAATCAAAGATGTCTTTGTAGATTCCTCTTGAAGATATCTCAAAGAAGTTGCAGAATCTTAGAATGGATGATTGAACACACAGAATAGTTTATTAACAGGGCTCAAGTGATTGAAGAACAAATTTGATCATGCTTTAAACTTACTAAATGATGAGAGCAATTGCAATCTTGGTAGAGAGGGGGAGTGTGTCCTTTGATGTGGGTTGCGGACTGGATTACTATTAAATCCACACACAAAAATTGGATTTTAAGATATCCAAATAACTGCTTTATATGTTGTAAGAAAATGACTTTCTAAATTATTGAGACTTTTTTCCTGTTGCCTGTGCAGGATAATTTTTTTTAAGCAGTTAATTCATATGCAATAATAAATTTTAAAGAAAACATAATTTCTAGTAAGTGCTGCTTCTAGGAAGAATTGGAGCATTAGCACCAATGCACCAGAAAACAAAAATCATCTCTCTTTTAGCTTTTAATATTAGCAAGTGCACTTGCTCCTTCAGTCTAGTTATTAATGCTATGCAAAAGCAAAGAGAAAATTAAAGTGGGAGAATTGCATGGCATTTGAAAAGAAAAATGGTTGTCTTATCAATGACATTTCAGTTGTATTGTTTACTGGGCACTTTGTCAGCTTTGCTTTGTAACAGGAAAGCAGATCTATTGTTGGCTTTCAAGCCAGCTAAGTCACGGCATGAAGTGGTACCTAGTGCCTCCCACTGCTGAGGAGTTGTTGACTTTCTATTCACGAAAAAAAGTCAAATGTAACCCACACAGTTTCTTATCTTATGTAGAATACTTTAGTGCATTCAAAGGAAGTCAAGATCAATTGATAACATAGACTCAAGATCTTCATATTGGAAGTGTCCATTCTTGGAGGCTGGCTTTAGTCCAATCCAAAAGAAGAAACAGGACAATTATTTAGACAGAATGGGTCTTAGAATCAGGCTGCCAACATTTCTCCCAGTGAATCCATTCACCTCACAAACGCCTGTGTTTCTACCAGTTTTCGTAGTGGATTCACAAGTCACTAAACTTAAATACGTGCGATTTGGTATAAATATTGCTTCCCGTCCAGCTGCACTTCACAGAATACTCCTTGAACAGTCACAGGTACAACGGTTATATTCAAATGTAGCACCCGGCGTTTTATTTTCTTCAAATACACAATAAAATTTGTGATATTTATTGAAAAGGGTAGAATGGAACAGGAAAATAGCATCAGTTCTGATTATCTGCATCATAGATGGTCCATAGCCATACCCACTAAATATTTTTCACATTGAGTCATTTTGCCCTTTAAACCAAAACCTTTGTGGCATCTTTCTCTTTCTTTAAAAACACACATATCTTGGTATGGTCTCTGTATTGGTAAAATATAAATTACATTTTTTGTTTTTTAATTATATATCTGCCATGAAACTGTCTCATAGTGAATTCCCAAACATATATTGTATCTATTTCTTTTCAGAAAATATGCAACTACAGACTTTGTAACCGTTAGTTAACAGTGCATAATATCTGAATGTTTGGAAGGAGAGGAGGAAGGCTTGTGAGTTTTTCACACCACTCCTCTCTCCATTTACATGGATTATTATTAACCAGAGGAGGGATGCATTTACCCGGGAATCTCCTAGACCTTGTTCTTAGAGTGGCATAAAGGCAAGAAAAGTTGCACTCTCATTTCGCCAAGTGGTGGGTAGGAACAGAATGAAGAGAGGCAGGGAGAGAGCTTCAGGGCCTTGCCTTGAAATTTGGAACATTTGACAACGTTTGTTGCGAGTGAACAGGTCAGCCAAGTTAAGAGGATAAAGTGTCAGAAGCAATGTTTGTTGAGCTGGCCAAAGTGATGACTTACACTTGTGTTTACTCTTTTTCCAAGGTTTGACTGCGGTTGTTTCTTTAAACAACATTTTGATGGTCTAAGAATTTCCAATGAGAGCAGTTTAAGGACAGAAACAAAAGAGGAAATAAAATAGATGTGCTGTCTTGATGAATACTGGTTATTCGTATATTTAAGACATATGTCCATAGGAACTTTTCAGATTAATTTATTTGTTGTGAAATTTCAGTGATTACTCAAAAAGAACAAGATTTTATTTAAAGTAATTAATTACATTAACATATATGAACACATAATTTTCTGAAGTATTTAGCAGATCTTATAATTTTGAATTGTGGGATTAAACAAGAGCAGTGAGGATTTTGTTTTCCTGATATAAAAAATTATGTTTTTTTTTCTTAAGCTGGGTTATAATAGGAACTAAAATTTGCAATCATGCATAATTTCTTCTAACATCTTCATAAACAATATTCTCAAAAGTAATACATATTTGTACTTTTATTACTACTTCTAGTCAAATAGTTCTAATATCAAGTTACTAAACTAATTCAATTCTACTCTCCTCTGGTATTGTAAATTGCTCTAGCTTTAAAAGTTATTGATTTTCTGGTTATATTTTCCTTTGACACTTCAATTTTTTTCATTGTTTAATTTTATTCATTTTTGTACTAGCTTGAGATATGTCCTTGAAAGTTCTATTATATCACGAAAGGTCGAAATGAAAAGGACATTGGTAAAATAACTCACCAAAGGAAAACTAATTTAAGAACCAGACACTGATGTATTTTCATCTGGTTTAATGTGGGATTTTTTTCCCGACTGTTTTCATTATTTGAAATAACTGTGAATGAGACTGTTTTCCCCAGAAAAAAAATGTAATTCAACATTTGTAAAATTATGCAAGCTGGGTGCCTGATGTTCTAGTTACAACTTCAAAGAAGAATTTAGTCACTAAAAGGGATTAGATTTCATTTATTTATTGATAAAGAGGCCAACAGTTCAAGTTAAGAAGACGCTAGAACTGCTGTGAGGCTAATGAAATTTTGATGGCCTGGGTATCCCGCAAGAGTAAGAGAACATTCGGACCATGTCACACGGCTCCATGTTAGCAGAGATTCAAAACAAGTGATAAGATTTATTCTTTTGCAAAACTAACTCTTCATCAACCATGGGGATTTGAAGTTAAAATAAATTTTGAGAAAAAAAAGATTTGTCACAACACTTTAAATTTTATATGTAATTCCAAATGTTAATCTTGTTCCAAATTAAGAAAATGGAAGAAGTCCTTTCTTGACGTATTAATTGTTGTGGTGTCGTTATTGTAAGTCAGCTACCAAACATCAGGCTGAATACTGGAGGGGCAGTGATTTGGGACCACCTATTAACAGCAGTTTGAGGAAGCGGTTGAAAGGTTACAAAATAAATGCGATGGGGCACCCTCCTCAAAGGTAAAATTATCAGTATGTTCTGGATTATTTTAGGCATCTTGACTGTCTCTGATGTGTTGTTAAAAGATCCCTGACTGAATTCCCATGATCCAGCTTTGCAAGTACTGTAATCTGATCTCAATTCCAAATTATCTATTTAAACGTCAGGAACAAAGGGCTTTTTTCTTTTTAATCCAAACATCAATCTTGAAGCTTTAAAAATGTTTTCATGGAGAGTAACTTGGAGTGTCAAGTGATGTGCAGGAAATCCAACGAAGGGTAAGGGCCTTGTGTGCATCAAGACAATGGGACAATGAAGATATTTAGCAAAGAAGTTTAAGTGGAAAAAAATAGCATAAAGTTGGTTTTGTGCTATAAATGCATAAGTAAGATAAATAAAATTTTGCACATGCATCATTTTCTAGAAAAAGCTAAGCCTATATTTGTCATCCAGCAGTGAGGTATGTCAGTAGAAGTTCCTGTATTTAGAATCACATTGGTCAGGGTTCAAATTCTTTCATTCATCCCATAAGACTGTTTCCTCCTGAATCACCCAGAGTGGAAGTTCTTCTCTTTTCTGTCTGTTCACTACTTGGCCTGTTGTGCTGCTAATTCCAGAGGTGTGGTCCTCTCCTCCTGGAGGTCCCTCATCTCGCTCTGTATCCTCGCCTCTTCAACTTCTTAGTGCCTCTTGGAAAAAGATGACCTTTGATGTCAGACGGATTAGGAGTTGGCACTACTCTTCCACCTCATCATGACTTGGGACCTCAAGAGCCTACATGGAGGGCAGTTGCTAAGAACGTGCTGTCCAGAGGCAGGCCACCTAGTTTTGCATGGACACCACCACCTCCCAGCTGCGTGACCTTCAGCCAATCAATTAACCTTCCCATGCTACAGTTTCCATATGGATAAAATAAGGATAATAGTAAATAGTGTGCAGTCCTATGAGGATAGGGCTGTTATGAGGATTAATGAAATGAGTTTAGGAACATATTATGCTTAGAACAGTGCCTGGCGTCTAGTGAGTTCCAAGTAGGTGTGTGCTCTTCTTATTAGTTCTAAAAGGAAGACAACTATATCTCCTCCTTAAGTGGTTATGAAGATTAACTTAAATAAACAATATCAAGTGCCTCCATAGTTTTGACCCACAATAAATGTCCCTTCTCTTTTCTCCTCCTCTTCTCTCTTACCTTCCTCTCTCCCATCCATATTAGTCAAGTTCTTGTGCTTTTGGCAAGATGAGGGATAACTCATGGTCTCCTCCAGAAAAGGCACTGATAATCTGCACAGCCTGGAATTTCTGTCACCATTTATTGACTCTCTTATTTTCCTCCAAAACCCCACATCCTTTTTAATTTACTGTAATTAAATGAATGTACATTGAATGGTGCTGATAATTAGTCTGATGGCTGTAGACTTCAAAGACTGTAACATGCTCCTTCCCCTCCTGGCCAAAGGAAATTTCAAAAGTAGTGTTTCCCTCAAAGGCATGTTACTTAGACAGCCAGTCAATTAAAAGGCAATTTAACTGGTGCTCCTCAGTTCACACAAAAAAATAAATCATTCCAGGAAGACTTTGTTTCTCACCTGGGGTCTTAGCAACGTACCTGTTGTAGGACCCCACTGATGCCACACTATTGTGCATGATACTGAAGTATTAAGGGCTAATTCGGCAAGCAAAAAAGGGTAAAATATTAAAGTGCAGACCTTGTAAATGTAATAGATACTTGCTTTGCACCGCTGATACACTTTTTATCGAACATTGAATTTAGAACATTGAACATTCATTTAGAACATTGAAATAGTATTTTAAAAGTCTACTCTCTGTATGGACAGATAAAGTCTAAACATCAAGCTATTGTATTTTAAAAGGAAAGAGGTATACATACCCCTTAAGCCAGTTTGATCAACTATTGTAGTGATAAGTTTACATCAATCTCTAAAGAGAGAACATTAGCTATTTTGCAATCCAAGTTACCATGCTAGGCAGAGTATGTTCTCTGGAAGAGGTGGCGGTGCAATTTCTTTTCTTTCTAAGCAACTGAATATAGGTGAGAAAGAGGAAATAAAAGAACTTGCAGCTCTTTGTTGTAGATTAAATTCTAGAAGAATTTGGGGGGAACTGCCTGTGGCCTTGGAGTACCCTGTTATGTCTTGTACCTCTGATGCTTCTAGGATGACACAGATGCCATTTCTCTCCTGGCTCTTTTCACAATATTTGAGTTTTCTGAAGATAATTTGAAGAAAGTTGTACTTTTTTGCCTCACTAGCGTAATTCCATTTCTTCGACTTTATCCATGAATTCTTTATCCTACTTTGGAAACTGATAGTAAGAATTAAGATGGAAGTCCGTTGCTGTAAGAAATATATATATTTCAGTGTTATTCTAATTTTATGAGATTCTATTACACATACTAAACTATAACTTGAATATAAATTTCACCATAGGCCTTTTCCTGGCATGTAATGGTCAATTCTGGCATGGTCTGCTGTTGTAAATCATATTTTATGTTTTAAGTGCTCTGGGATGTCTAACATAGCAAAAGTAATATGTTGGTGCGCTTACTAAATCAAGCTCAGAATTAAAGTGCTGCTTTGCAAAGTGCAGTCAAATAGTTCCTAATATATAAAAGTAATTACATTGCCTCGATATGTATATACTTATAGTTTCAATAGCGACTTGTCATTCTTTGAGCAAAAGCTTCCATATTTCATTTAAGGATGAAATATATTTACTTCGTGGATATATACAAGGTACTCTTGAGCATAGTAAGTTATTATTTACATAAAATCCTTTTAAAATTTAGCATTATAAAACTAGAATTAAGATGATTACAAAGTCTACTACTAGTGGCTGGGTGTAGTGGCTCATGCCTATAATCCCAGCACTTTGGGAGGCCGAGGTGAGAGGATTGCTGAGCCCATGGGTTCAAGGCCAGACTGGGCAACTTGGCAAGACTTCTACAATAAATCAAAAAATTAGCCGGGCGTGGTGGCACATGCCTTTGATTTCAGCTACTTGGATGGCTGAGGCGAAAGGATCACCTGAGCCCAACAGTTCAAGGCTGCGGTGGCCGTGAGCATGCCACTGCACCTGGGTGACAGAGTGAGACTCCGAATTAAAAAAAAAGTCTACTACTATGTTGTTATTAGATACTTAAGTATTTATATATATTTATATTTTTCTGTTCTAAAATAGTTTTCAGAAAACGTGACAGCTTCACTTGAATACCGCCATTTCTACTAAACTCAGTTTGTGTTCTAAGTATTTGTGTTTAAAGTATATAGAATATGTGCTATTCTGTTTAAATTCTAAGTGTTCTTTTAGTTGTAGAGTTGAAATCAAAGTGAAGTATACTATGCACATATCAAAACTGATGATGTATGCGATTTTGATTTTTGAATGTGTTTTTGATATCCTTGAAGAATCACAGTGGTAGCAGTAAAATTGTTTTAATTAATGAATTGAACAGCAGTGAGTGCTGAATCAGGTTTATTGATGTAATTATCACTGAAATAGAAAAAAGAAGTGTTAGAGCCATAGAACCTTAGTTTATTTGCCATTCTGAGGGCATTCAAGTGTTTGAAGAGCAACTAACTGAAGTTTTTTTTGTGTGTTAAAGAATATTATTCTTAAGTCATAATAATTCTGTTTATTAATATTATGTACACATATAATTTTATGTGTGAAAAGCTTATACATTATTTACTGAATTGTTTAAATGATAGTTTCACTGTATTAAAATTTTCTTATATTTATTGGTTGACTTGAGATAGTTTTCCGAAATAAATAGACTGTACATGAACTAAATGTAAAAGCTATTTCAATGCATATTAAAATGGATGGAAATCCATATAAAGTTGAGAAAAGAACAATTAAATATGTCTGTTGACTGTTGCCTTGACTTTGAGTATTATTGTCACACAGAAACTACAAACTGAATAAAGTTTGGGTATAACTTATTGAATGGATTTCTTATTTAGTATATCAACTAAGTGTTCATTCAATGAATAATAGATGCTGGGTATTGTTCTAGGTGCTGGGTAAACAAAAATGAGTAAGATGTAGTCCCTGACCTCTAAACACTCACTGCTGGTTGGGCAAACAAGGAAGTAGACGTAATTAGATTTTTACATGGCAAGTGTTATTACAACAGAATAGGCAAAGTCAATTTCAGCACAGAGCAGATTGTTGCCAACAGAGAATGGGAGGAGAGGAGAGAATGATTCATAAAGAAGGAAGAGAGTAGCATTGGAACAGAGGTGTAAAGAATATGTAGAAATTCAAGACAGACAAAGCAATGAAGGAGATCATGTAAGATCCCTGCCGACTGTTCCAAAGCTCTCGCAGAGTTGCAGCTGCACATGTTGCCACAAAACATACCCATAAGCCCTTCATGGCGATACTAAGGGACTTGCACTTTTTTCTTCAGGTAATGGGGGGGCT